CTGACACATGGCGCGATGTGAGATCTACTTTGCTGATAACCTCTGGCGCACCTATTGCAAGTCGTTCCGGTTACTCCGTCCTTGCAGGGACACTGACCTGTACTCTGGTTACACGTTTTGCCAGATGCACCAATTAGATGACAGTCACATGCTGAAAGAATTTATTGATTAATGAGTAATGGACTATTATGATGGTAGAATGTGATAGATGCGCGTGAATTGGGTGTTGTTGAGTTTAGCAGTATGAGTTTGCAAGAATGAAATGGCGTGGGTTGTGTTGGGTTTAGCCAATGATTTATGGAATCAATCAACGGGCACGTCGTTAGAGAGGTGAACAGTCGTGGAGAGGCGTGGGCCAGATAACGGGCAAATGAAGAGGACAACTGGTGGGTGAATGGCAATGATAGACAACCACAACACACCGAGGGGATTCCAATTGAGGCGATATCAATAACGAATTAGATGGGACTAATTGATCGATTGATAAATGTTCTCGGTTATAGGCATTAAATAGTCATTATACGGATTAACGATGAATTATGGGGATGGGAGAAAAAGTGATGGAATTGATGGATGATATGAGGGGGAGAAATAGTGGGTCACTGTGAAAATTCTTTCAATGATTTTCATATTATTATTTATGCTGTGGCAAAGAAGCCGTACAATAGATGCTGCGTACGAGCGTCTGGCTGGTAATATAATGGTGAGAAAGGCTGGAATTCTTATAGAGTCACTGGACAATAAGAGGAAAGGGTGGAGGAAAAATGTGCAGTGATCGATAAAAGATTGTTTTGTGGGTTGCAAAAGGGATAGATAGGCGTGTGGCATACGTATCATGCGGAGTAGTGTGGTAGTTAAAGCGTATAAGATAGCATTTTATAGCCACGGACAGATATACTAGTACGGCTTTATCGCATTTATCATCCTCGGAGCTCAAGATGAGCCAAACGAGTTAGGGTGTACACTGTGCACATTCTCTCTTTTCGTTCTCATGTCTCTTATACACGTACAGTGTGTACACAACTCCTACGCTTTATCGTACCCACAGCAGTAGTGGCAAATGGCTAAAAATCTAACCGATTCATTGTTTTCCCTTCAATCATTTTATGGAAATATTTTATCCATCAATTTCCTCAATGGCATAGCAACTGGATTTTCAGCCGACTGCCAAGTTGGAGAAGTTGGTGATAAAATATTGACTGGAGACAAACACTGGAGGAACACGTCGTACTCGTGGCAAGGGATTTATTAACATTGAGTCAACAAGACTCGCCCTTGTGCACCCAATGGATCGATGATGGCTCCACGTTTTCCTTTTTCCATCATACATTGTACACTCGTATATTGTCAAGTCTATTCCGCGGCTCTTCAACTTATTCAACTGAGCAAGCACTGGAGTAATCAACGAATAATTATCTCTCCGAGTTGTGAAAAATATAAATTTATTTATGACCGTCGACAGATGGTAAAATGTAAATCAATTCATAAATTCATAACGTCTCAATCGAGTCCGGGGTAATTTATTATATCCACATGGTGTAGTGTCACAGTTATATGATGCGTACACTTGAAATATGCGAATGCCGATGAAATGCACTCCTCTCCTTTCGTGTCGAGTTGAAGTTATATACCTGTAGAGGTATATAACTCTCAACGACGTGTGTCTCGACGTATCAATCGTCCCACGCGCGTGCCAAAGGGATTCGACTCCCTAGGTTATCCTCCATGCCACTCGTCTTTTTTATTCCCCAACTCAAGAACTCCGAGGATCGTCAACGTCATTCTTCAAATAAGAGACTCTCCAATTGTGTAATCCGGAAGTGACTGACTCCATCACTTCTGTGGCCCTTTGTTCCGATAAATTACCATATAATTGTGCGCTCGATATGAAAATTCATCGTGGTAAATTTAAATTTCATTAAAACTCTTCGCGCGGTTAAAAAAACTTTGAAAGTATTCTTTTGAGAGAATCATCCTTGAATCTTCAAACTAACCCACATTATAATGACTAAGATGGCGTCAAGTCAAGTCAAGACTGAGACGCAACTGGGGGGTGAATATTAGAGTTTGTAAAAAAGACCTTTTGAAAAAATCCCGCGGCTTATGCGTGCGTGATGGCATATCTTTTATGCCGCAGAAAAGTCCACTCAAAAGCGGTTAATTACACTCGTATCAAGCAGATGAAAAAATGATGAGAGTCAAGCAAGGAAAATGCTATTTCATCATTTCCGCTGCTTATCTCTTGCCAAGAGAAACTCCCTACATATTCCATTCCATAATATTTATTACAAATAAACATAAAAATGAAAATTGAAAGGAGCTGGCTTGGAGTTGTCTCGTAAATTTGACTTTGCGGTGTGTGTCAGTGGGTGTCTATCCATCATTATTAGTTGGATAATTTTATTCTTTTATTTACATGTGTATCTCAACGCAGACCGAAAATTGTGGGAAGAAGCTGAGGGTTTAAGCCGATTACCGAGTTCTCTGATGGCTGAGCTCAAACAGACTCCAGCCTCTCTTTACTTTTTCTCGGTTGCTGGGCTATAATTTCTTGCAATCCACCGACCAACTCAATTATTAATTAGGTTTTAGCATTAATATTGAAGAAATGTGCGGCGAAAGCTAGAATTTCGATGACTGAATAATGGGCATAATTTTAGCACGGATTTCGAATTTCGTATGGGAGTTTAAACAGGCTAAAGCGGCACGGGCCAATTTATTAATCGGATTATCAAGCTGATTTCCCTCTGGAGTGAAGTGTATCCAGGGACATAGTGCGCTTGATAAACTCCCACTACGTTTCGAACCGTTTTCACCTGGGACTCTCCAGGGAGATTCCAAACTTTTCGGGATTTATGTTTTACCTCCATTCTATCGCTGCGAGGAAAAGAGTGAAAACAAATCACGCCCAACAAATGATTACCCCTCTTCCTCTTTACCCTTCGCGCGTGGAATTGCTCATTAGTACAATTCTCACAATGAGTAAGGAATAAATAAAATAACCGCAGAAACAATTGAGTGATATTGCTGTTCACGAATGAGTGGTGTTGCCCTCGCGAATTTCCCGTGGGCCCTCGCGGTTCGCCACAGCTCCGGTTATCATTGGAAATAACTCTTCATTTCCATTTCGCTACACTCAATCCACTCAATAAAAACTGAACAAAAACGAAATTAAAGTGATGAATTCTCATGGGTATGAGAGTGTTGATTTAATTTGCTTGAGCTGAGATAGCAATAAGGATATCTCACGTATGGCCTTGAGCATCCCCCCAGAGATTTTCCTCCACCCTCATATCCCGCCCCACCTCATCGCCATCGTTGCCCTTATATCGGCACGTAAGAACTCGATGAAACCAACTCGCACGGAAACAAATTATCTCTCGGAAAAACTTGGGAGGAAGGAAAATGAAGAAATCCTCATTTTTTCCTAGATTTTATTGCAAGCCCATGGGGATATTATATTGGAACCAGACTCGAAGAGCATGCGACCAATTTTTTCTCATAAAGTCCCAAAGACTCTGATATTGAAGAAAAAGGAGACAAAGAATGCCAATATCCGCTTGAATTTTCTTATCCTATTTCGACCATGTAAACTCAATTATATGGTTTTTTCCCTCGGTTTGGAAAATTTGATTGCTCAATATATTGCAGAGTTGGAAAAATTTATTTCAATTAGGAAATAGAGAAAGTGTGAGTGAAGGGAATAGTCATGTTTTATTCTCATCACGCATATTTTCGATAAAGTCGACAGATATTCAGTTCTCGGTTCTCCTTTTTCTCGCCTCCTATGCCACCCTAATCAACGACGATTTGGCATCTCGAATTTGTATTCATCACTCGAACTCGTTCAGCGTTTACACATGACTCGCTAGAAATTGCTTCCTTTTCCCTTCAAATGTCAAAACGAGTGGGGAGAATTTTCTTTCGGGGAAAAGTGGATGAAAGGATAAAAATAAAAGACGAGGAGAAAAAATGAAAAGGACTTTTAGCGTCGGTTGTCGAAGTTTGCCCACCTGTAGCACATGCATCCTGAGCTACCGTGGTCAATACAGGAATACAGGAATAAAAGGTGGCGAGGAGTCCTCTCAGCTCGTAGGTATATACGTTTAAAGAAGAGGAAGCACAAGGAGGAGGAGGAGAAGAGCAAAAAAAAAATAAAAAGAAAATAAAAATCCAAGCGCTGAGAGTGTCGGTTGCGGTTAACCGTAGGCGTTCGACAAGGTCCCAGGTATATGGCATACATTATCAACTTATATATAACGTCCATTGTATACACGCAAAGGTATATATCGAAATCCCAACAGCAGTTCCCCAGTCATTCTCTCGTATTTTTACAAGAAGTGAGTTTAAGGCGTCTCTCCGCCGTCTTTACAACCCCCGGGAATTTGGTTTCATCTAATTGGCACTTTGGTAAGTGTGCAATTTTTCATTTTACGATTCAGCCCTTGGATTTGCCAAAGAAAATTGGTTCAATCGCTCTATATTAAATAGAACCATAAATTTTTATGGACATTTTTCGATCCTTTATGAAATCAAAAGGATTGCAGTTGAAAATATTGAAGTTTTTTTTCAAGGGACCAGAGTGAAAATGAAAATAGGATTTATCGGTGGGTAAATGGCCGGTCAAGTGATATATTTCGCTATTTTGCTAAGCTCAAATTATCTCGACAAGGGTGTACTTGATTGCCGGGATACAGGTATCAGATAAAGAGAGGGATTCTTTTCGAATGAAAGGGCATAAAAAAGTATTGAAAAAATACGTAAACAAAACAGTATACTCTCGACACAGGAAATGACTCTCCACTGGGGTCGAGTCCCTCAGTGCGAATAAATAACGTGACGAAAAATGTGCCCGGGGGAAAACAAAATAACAGACTCTCTGGCTGGGCCTCGGAAACAACCTCCACCATCTCCACCGTCCTCACCACCGCTATTCGTCGAGCATCAACCCAATACCGACATTTTTTTTTCTTTCTCCTCTTTCTGTAGAAAATCGAGACTGGAATCTTTTCAATATCTTGGAGCACTGAAGTTACGCCGAGGGATACAGGAAACAGAAAGAAACGAATAAAAGAATAAGATGAAAAAAGGCCAAAAAGTCAAGACCAATTACCACCAAGTATCGCACCGTGGGATGTACCTTATTCTTTTATTTTTATTCCACAAATTTTTTTCCCTTTTCTTTCTGCGTTAGTTTTTTTCTTTTTTTTTTCTCCTGAATTCTCGCCTCGTCCTCCTACGTGATTTCCCCCTAGCTCCGGCGTTTCGCAGTCTCTTGATGCTTTGAGACGTGTGCCTGCTATTCTACAAAGACTCCTTGCCCTCCCTCACCACCGTGTGGGATTTTCCTATTGGGAATCGAATTTGCGAGATACATCTAACTTCGTGTCTACCTTTTTCCCGAAAAGTTACCAACGCCAGCGTTCCTGGTACGTGGCGTGAATTCGATCGTCACGATTCACCATTCAGATGGATTGCTTGTGGTGGAATTTTTCCCTCAAATCTTCTGGGAGGCATATCGAAAAATAACTCATTTTATCATTTCAATTTCAAGCCGATATATAAAAAAAATTCTACGCGGGAGGAATGTGTGACACTCAGCAAGGATTCTTGTCCATCACTTTTCCTTCTTTCTACTATCGCCGAGGAAATTTATCATGCATCCAAAAGGAGTCTTTTATGCGGCCATCTCTTGCATGGATATACAGAAGAGCAAAAAAAAAATCACCTCTAGCGAATATATTCGGCAATTCAAAAGCACATGGAGCGGGGTTGAGAGGGAAAAAGTGGCTTGTCATCGATCATATTTAATTGAAACCCGACACCAAAACGCGGCGATACACGCCTATAAATCTCAGTAATCTAACTGAATGTATTTTCTCCGTTAGACAAATGAAAAAAAAAAAAGGAAGAAAATTATAATAAGTATCACTATTTTTTAACATTGGTGTCAATTACTCTTTGGCCCTAATTTGCAAGCGTCAATGCTGAAATGACTACCTTTTCGTGTTGAATGGAGGGAATAAAAAAATAAATATATGCATGCACCTTTGATTTGATATAGCTTGGGGCGATTAATTTCTTTCAACATTCAAGAGGCATGAGAAAGCTCACTTTGATAAATAGCTTGAGTCGAAGATTGGAGGCAGCCTTCTCGGCATTCAAAAATATTCAGAGAAAATAAATAAATAGATGGTGAGGGGTGGCAAGGGGAGGAATGAAAGAAATCAACACAGTCCAAGCTCTGAAATAAGATGAAACGTGCAGAGCAGCGGGAGATCGATAGCTATCTCTTGGGTTTACATGCGTTTGAAGCGCCTCGAGTGGTTGCCCCAAGTGGTCACACATACATTCATCACGTTACATGATACGTCGCATATACCTGACATTAATGACGTGCGTCTCGAGAGGTAATGAGACAGTCTGTTGCTTCAAAAACATGGGGAAAAAAAAGCATTTATATTGTTAAGCCACCCATCAAATCCGCTCTCGATTTTTCATAAATGAAAAAAATCCAGAAGTAATATGAAAAAGGAGAAAATTATCACGGTATTATCTGATGAATTCTTCAACATTATATAAACCACTTATATCTTCACTTAAACTCCTGAGAAAATGTATTTTAATTTAAAGGAAAAGAGAGAAAAAAATGATAATTTCGATTAGTCGTACTCGATAAACGAGTAATGGAGGCAGGTAAGCGTGTAATGAGAGTAGCAAATGGTTGTATCTCAAATGAGATCGATCAACCGGTGTGGCACTCATACGCACAGGGTTATAGATACATGAAGGGGCCGTACACGTTAACGGGCCGAGGCGAAATATAGATCTCGATTTCATTAATGCTCATCAATTCTCTCCTCATGGTATTTAGAGCCAAGATATCGTCTCTCATTTTCTTTTCACTCGTCTGCTTTTATTCCTTCTTTTTCTTTTCCACATTTCCATCAATTAATTTTCTTCCTCTTGGCAGAATATTAATTAACCCGCTGATTGAGTTGCGCTCAAACATTTAATACCAGTGAAAATTATTTATTTTGATGGTTGATGAGGAGGTTGAAAGAGGTTGAGATCGGGGTCGGGTCACTGGCACATGGAGACGCATTCGAGACTCTGGTGCTTTACAATCCAATAGACGATTCAGCACACTCAAACTCAACACACCACCCACCTCTCAACTCAACCCCTTCACATTCACTCTCATTCTCCTGACACGATTTCATTGATCCACCCTCTTCGTTACTCAATACTCACTTTACTTTTTCTTCACCACTTGCATTACATTTTTTTTTCCCTCATTTTCATCCTTATAGAGAGCATTTTAACGATCCATTCAACATTATGTGTACACATCATTTCAGCGTTATCCGTAAGATCACATTTTTGTTAGGGGATTGATGGCACGGGAAATGGAGGCCCCAGCGATCGTCTTCGTGATATCAGCCAAACTCTACGGGTGCCCATGACAAATTACAAAAGAAAAAATCTTTCCAAATTGTTTTAATTTCAAGACACCACAAGGCAGGCTCTCTCTCAAAGACAATCCCATCGTTACGAGTAAACTAGTGAAAACATATCGGACGCTAGTGCTTTATAAGCCTCTTACTCAATTCTAATTGGCTGATTGAAGGGTTTTGTCTTTTATGTATATAGTATGCTAGCCGGGTGCAGGGCTAATTGGTGTAATCTGATTAAAACATAAAAGCAAACTCAGAGTAATGAAGCCAAACCCATACAGGATAGCTCCATTTTTCATATTATAATGATGAAGGGCAATTATCGAATTATTTGAAAAATGCATAACAAGTTATGGTTTGCCGGGAGCTTGAGCTCTTCAACTAAGTGGCGGCTGATGAATATGCTAACGCGTGCTAAAGCCAGTGACAAAGCTTTGTCCACTGGTTTTGTCGGTTTGCACCTCAATGCCAGGACTAAGCCGACTTGTAACACTTGGACAATCTTGCTTTTATTTGTGTTTTCCGCCAATCTCAAACTCTTGATGAGAATGTGTCTAAATGTGTAATGATTTCGTTTGTAGTTTGTCTAACCCTTGGCCTTTGGGCAAAACTGGGGATAAACTGGTCAAAGTAAAGGGAAAAAGGATGTGACCGAGAGAGTTGAAGAGATATATAGAGTGAGCCCTGGATTTCATGGATGAAACAGTATCGTTGGTGGGGCTTACGGTCACGCGTACAGGACAAACACTAGATGAGAGGAGGGAAAAACTTTCTAATATTGCCGTAGATACCCTAAGGACCCTGTGTATTTTGTCCAGTGGTAACTGTGTTTTGATGTGTATATATGCGTGAAATGATGCGCACTGAGCTTTATGAAACGAGGAGGGTACATCAGAGACTGATGCCAATGTACAAACAATTTTTTTTCTTTGGATCTTTGAAACTGGGTTGGCAGAAGAGATTTAGCTTTTCTCTCTCCGAGGCAGAGAGCTTATTTTCGTGAATTGGAATAATTGTTATTAGAGTAATACGGCTGTGAGAGAATTAAATGATGAATGGAATATTAATAATGGAGAAAAGCAGGGAGATGGAGAATTAACGTCTGTGAGCGGTTGCATTGTTGCGGCGAGAGGATACAATTGCTAAAGGCTGTGGAGGCAGTGGTTCCTGGTGGGGTGGTAGACGATGGATGGATGGATGGATTTGAAGGTGATTCCGAACATTGTAGGGGTTCTACATGACAGTCTGGATTTAACAGGGTTTGAAGTAGTAGTAGAGGAGGAATTACTCACGTTTACAAGCCTTGCGGTGGGTGATCGGTTTAGTTGGATCTCTGTAGTAGCCCTCTCGGCAATAATGGCAGTGTCTTCCAGCGGTAAAGTGTCGACACTGTAGGCACACGCCTCCGCTCACTCGTCCAGACAATTTGTACAGTTCAACATTGAAACGGCATTTCCGAGCGTGAAGATTACAATTGCAAACTGAAAACAAACATTTTTCCATTTTAATAACTTTCAACTATTTATTTTCCAACTTAATCTCCATCTCCGTAATTTTTACTTCATGTCTTGTCATATTTCATTAAAATTAATTGGCCCTTTCGTTGTATATTTAATAATTTTTTGCCATCGTCGTGGAATAAAAAATGAAGGGATGGAAGAGGAGATATCTCAATGAAGATCGAGCTATTAAGTGCGCGAGCGATAAACCATTATTTGTATAAACTTTTCGGCAAAATGGCCAATCTCCAGATCTCCTGTTATTAGTCAATACACCGCGGTATTGCCCCTGGGAGTTATTTTTCGATCCTCTCGATGAGATTACTGTTTTTATAAGAACCATTCATCTCGGCGATGACGGATCGACAGTGGCAGTCAATTTTTCATCTCATCTTTCTTCGCACTTTTTTAAATCTTCTCTCGCTGCTGCTTTTATTCATGATGCGGTTATAATCGACAGGTGCTGGCTCACCCATTATCGATTTACATTATAGGAAAAGACACTCTTTAGAAATACACCTCTTCATATACACCTCTTTTAAAATATCTCTCTTCAATAAATTTTCTATGATTCAGAATGAAATAAAAGATAAACCTGTTTCACTCTTTGAGAAAATGTTATGTTATCTCTCCACCAATTTCGCCCTAACGAGCTGACACAATGTCCCATCCTCGCCAAAGACTCGAGCCAATGCCGACTCGATTATTCGCCGATAACTTCCAACATTAAGACAGGTAAAGAAATTCCGATGGATAACTTCCCGTTTCCACAAATGACGCACGAAATTGCTGGAAGAACAGCAAACAGAAAAATCTTCATCCAATTTTCTGCAAATTTACATATTGTTTTGCGATCGGTAAACAAGTGGGTGGACTTGAGACATAAACACGTGCCATTCCTTCGGTTATGCACAGATAAACGCGCAGAATTTTATTTTCTCCATTCTCTTTATTACTTGTTTATTTTCTCTTTTCTCTTTGGAATTCGGGTTTATCGCAACGCCACTGATAAAATTCTCATTCACCGCGACACTTTTATATATACAAAAGCTATTTGAATGTCATGCTTGGGGTATCAACATGTGCATGGCGACCACATTCACCAATCCACGGAATTACTTTTCCGGATATTTCACGATCTTTTCAAACTGATCATCTTCCTTTATGATTATGGGCTTTCGCCAATAGAAAAAATATAAAAGTGTAAAAAAATAAAATATTTCACTTCCAGATCTGATTTTATTATATAAGACGCCAATTGTTGAGAGAGTTTTGGCATTAATTTTTCCACCTGACCCCAACCTCGGTCGTATGTAGATATATAGAGACAGATTATTAATGCATGACTGGAGAGGCTTGTAGGGGCTTATTTTCATGTACTATCTGCATTTGTACTGGAACGGAAGTTAGCAAGACGTAGGTGGATGATTTGATGCCGGTAACGCGAGTTGGATGAAAAAAATGTGGTGTGCACCTTCGGGTTATGCGTATGAAGAACACCTGTGCTGTATAAGAGTATAAGTGAGTTGCATGATATTTCTCAGCACCAGGTGGTAAAGGTGAAGCGATTTCCCTCGGTCTTATGATCACCACTTATCCCTCATTTGCCATTCGACATACTCACGCATACATATACCACGTTTCACTGACTTTTTTTATTCAATTAAATAAACTGATTTTTAGCCAGTTGATAATTGGCTATTGGAATTTCGGCTGATAATTATGGTGTTGGAGTTGAAGATGTAGAGGCATACTCTCATGCGTTCATGTAATGCATAGGGCTTCTTATGCATTACATGTCGAGCTGAGTGTTTCAAGGCACTAGGTGGTGGGTGGTAGGTGGTATCCTAAATGGATTACACGGAACATCTCCTGATGAAAAGGTGAGAGACCAAGAATAGGTGAGAGTAGTACCATAGACAAAGGCAAAGGGCCAAGTTGCCTTGATTTAGGGACTTGTCTCATAACAGAGGGAATTGTTAATTAATCGAGTTATCAACTCTATCAACGCGAATAGTGATCGCTAATATATATTCATCGAATTCGTCAATTCGTAATTTTTTCAATTTTACAAGGTATTGGCGGAATAAGTAAAAGTGAAAAAAAAAGGAGGAAAAGGTAATTAATATGTATGTAACTCTGAATTAGACGCATCAGAGATTTACATGGTGAAAGCAACAAAGCAATGGTGTCACCGCGAGACACGTGTAAAATTCGAAAGCATGAAATCGCGTTAGGAGCTTATGGGATTTATGGGAATTAAAATCGCTCGGCTAGCACTGCGTTGTGTTCACACATGCACACTCATTCCAACTACCTTGGTTTCAAAGGGGTTTTTTTCTTTTTTCTGTGCACCACGAGGGGGTGGGACGGTTAGTCAGTCGTCAACGGCGTCGAGGCGCGAGAATGTTCCGACGCCAACGAAAATCTGAATTAAACCGCATTCTCATTATGCTCTCTACAACACGCGCCTGGAGATGTAAATTTCATTGGTAAAACTATTTTATTGAGTTTAATATTTGATCAGGTGGAGGGCCACAATGTAATATTCTCCCGTTGCGTACACTCAACGTCTACATATATGCAATTAACGGGGGAAAAAAAAAAACGAAGAGAGAAATGAAATTCTCCCCCCCTGAAAATGGCCCATCCGGTGATTGATTGCAATGCCTCTACCGCTCTGCGTTGTATGAAAACACTGTTCGCTAAAATTCAAATTAACGTGAAAATGGTTTTGTCGGTTATTGTTGGTATTGTATGGTCAGATATTTTCCTCCTCTTTTTTCACTGATGAGTTCATCGTACCGGTAAATTTAATTTTTCCTCTCCCTCTATTTTAAAATTCTGTTGAATCAAGCCCCCAAATGAATGTTAAACTTTAAACAATTGAAATTAGCTGATATTCATTGCTGATTGGGACATCTGATTGTGGTGGCGAATGATTAAAGAAAGCTCACACATGGAGTATCGATCATATGGCTCTCGTTAGTCAACCATAACAATACTATCACAATTTTCGACGCATCGCGATATAAACGCTTCGTTAGTCACTGCCGTGTCACATAGCAGTTGTGCCAAGTGGGCGTTCGCAGATCAAAATAACCGCGGTGATATCCCTCTTTTACATTTTTATTTCATTCCTTTTTTTTTCGAAAAAAAATTGGAAAAATTCCACTGTCCACTAAATTCAAAATTCAAAATTCCATATTCGCCTAACCTTTATTAATGCAATTTCACTTAATTCATGCTAGAGCATCCTATTGTGTGGTTGAAGATGAATTAGTATGTTATAAGCTAGGTCGGATGAAAGAAGTTTGCCTTAATCCCAATCTCGAATAACATAAGACAAATTGACTTTTATCCTCAAAGATAAAAAAAAAAAAAGAGTTATAGAGAGAATATATTTCGAGAGATTTTTCAATGTCCGGTTCCATTAATAGGTGTTGCTGTATAGGTGATATCTTATTTGTTTCAATTAGAGGTGGGATTCTGGTTGCATGTTGAACATAATTGGGAAAAATCTCGACGGCTATCTAGTAGTAGATTCGTTATTCCCAGGCCCATAAAGCCCCTCATTGGAACAGGTATAGACATTCACAAAGTCACTCTGACATTTTTTTTCTCTACCTTTCCATTCATTAATAAAAATGTGAATGCTGTCTTTGGTGTTCATTTGAAAACCGGAATGTCGATCGTGTTATTTCAACCGTAAATTCAAATTTTGTCAAATTGTAAAGTTTTTCTGGTAGCTAATGTGTTTGGATAAAGTAAAAACGTTATAACGGGGTTTTAACTTCCACCCCTTCTTCATGCACATGATTTATTCGACGTTTACTCGCAGATTTTAAACTCTCATTAACAAGGCGCGGTGGGCTGGACAAACATGCTATAGCTCCAACATTTCACCTCCATCATTCTCATTAACCCTTTTTTTTTTTTCGTAATCCTCGGACTTGCATTCCTCCTCCAATATGAAGGAGCAGGGACACAATCTCTCATATGAGACGGCTGATTTGAATGAGCAATTTGCTTGATGAAATGGAAAGGGCTCGACTTATTCAAACAAGATTGCGAGGGGGATCCCTCGTAACCTATAAAATTCAAAATATTGAGGGTGAATGTGGTGCTGCATATATTACCATAAGCATCCCTTCCAAGTATCTGGAAATAGGACATGTGAATGAGAGGATTAGCCCCATGGCTAATTGTCAGTTCTTATGATCGATGCGTTATATTATTTGGCCAACTGCACGTTTAAGCCCTCTTTATTCACCCTTCGACAAATTCTCCTACATATAATGCACAGGCAATGGCCATTGTCTTGGAGTATAGGCATCAGATATGCCGCCCGCACATGAGGTTAACTCTCGCCAAACTTATATCTTTCATTATGTACTCAACAATGAAACCAATTGTCCACCGTGAGAAACATGACAAACGTGGGAGGCGATAATTACCAGTGCAACGCTAAATAATCTCGGTAAATTCTCGTTCTCTTCAATTTGTTTTTCTTTTTCCTTGAAAATTCAGCATATAATGAATTTACGACAAATGATATATCATCACAAGATTGTCATTTGCATTTGGCGGAATTGATATTAGAGGGTAGAGTCATGTACATCGAGCAGTTAAGTTGTTCGGAATATTCTTAAATTCAGAGCTGTCGGAAAAGTTGTCGGAAAGATGTGTCTAGCAAGAAAGCAGCAATTGGCCTGAGGGGTGGAAACCAGACGTGCAGTAAGTCGTGGTGAAATTAGTGGGGCCGAGTGATGGGATGAAAAAGGGCCCAGAGCGCTAGGTTGTGGATTTATCCACCCGCGAGAGAAACTGTCCGCCGTAAGTGCGAATTTGTCCCGAGGGTCTACTTGGGCTCGTCTCGAGGAAAACCTCTGGAAATTTTCGTATCTTTTAACGTAGCCTCAAGCTACACCACAATTCTATACCTTAAAAAATTCACAGATTGACGGACATAGAGAAGCACC